CCGCCCTTCGCACGGCCGAGAGCGAGCGTGAAAGCGTTTCTGCTCACGAGCGTTGCGTTACCTTTTAGCGTCACCATCTTGTGACAGAAACACACCTCTGCGTAGGGCTGAAAGCGCCCAGCTCGCTGCAATGGTGCCAGGGCCCCTGGTTTACCGTGCGGTAATCCATGCCCGCGCGGATGCAGGTTTGGGGGTTATCCCGGTCACGGGGTTAGGTTGTTGCCTTGGGAAAGCAGAGAGGCGACAAGGGTGTTGCTATTGTGCGCGTTCAGTGAATGCAAAACTTCTGTTACCAGTTGGATACTAATAGCAAAAGTCTTGGTCCTTTGATTCCTAAGATCTGAGAGCACTGAGACTGACCGGGAAGCTGAGAGACCAGCACCATAGTTCTGCCATGTCCCAGTAGGGTTCTCCTCGCTTAGTACTTTATAGTGCCTTAAAGTAGGTATTTTGCATTAAACCAGCCATTTTTTAATGTAGGAATAAAGTTGCTTATTCTAATGTGACTCAGCTGAGGCGTCTGTACTGCACATGGAAGTAGCAGTGCCAGTAAATCTCCTAATTATAATGGTAGAAGGTAAACCTGCTGGGTTTGGCCCTACGAATTTTCTGTATTGTGTGATCTGTAAGTTTATTTCCCACCAGGTCCATTGTCCCCCTCCTTTATTTTCCTTCTGATTCACTCAGTGGGTCATGGACTGCTTTTTGAAAGTGGAGACTAATACTTAGCAGTATCCTGGGGATTTAATTGCTTATAGGGGAATTCAAGTTGAAAAGCACTATTATGTACTAATAAAAACAATGGTTAATTCCATGCAAACATCTGCATTTTGCTTACATTAAAGTATTCTTTTGTTTAAAAATCTTTTTCCCCGATAAAAGGCTTTTTATCACTGAGAACCTTGAACTTGACTTAAAGCCAAGACTCTCTAAAGTTCTCACTTGTTTTAAAACATTACATTTCATGTTAAATATTTGTTGTATGCTATTTTTTATTGTTTCAAACCAGAATAAGTACCTCCAGAAAGTAATGTTTATTTAGGAGAAAAAGAAATATGTTTTTAAAGTCTTCTGGATAAATGTACTTTTTACTTTCAGAGTATGAAGCGGAACAGCCTCTATTTCCAGATGTTCCTGAATCAAAACGTGGATCTGTGAGTATAGGAAAAAATCTGCATAGGCCTGGTTTTAAATAACTAAATGGGAAAATTAGGAACCAGCAGCATAGACTCATTCATAAAATGAAAACAAAACTACATTTTGCAAACAACTTTTATGAATCAACGAATGTAATATTCCAAATCATTGCTTTTATTTAAAGCTAAAATTAGATTACCAGCTGTGTTTGGTTTGTACATCTCACTGTCTTTGTGCTGCGACTGTCTGCTTCATAGGCAGGACTCTGAGGCATGCAAGGATCTCCTTTGGGTAGTATCGCAAGCAGACCGAGGGCTAAAATATGCAGGAGGGGGGAGCAGGCGCAGCGAAGGAGTTATGCCCCAATTTCACATATGGGATAGGTCACTTAGATGTGGCCGTTGAAAGTAGTGGGATTAAACCTGATCAAAGTTGTTTAAAGTCTAATTTTAACCAAATAAATTCAGTCTAGGAAGATTTTCTCGGCAAACATAAAAACTTAAGAAGTACAGACCTCTTTAAATCTTTCTCCCCAGCAGTTCTAGGAGCAGCAAAATTAATTTTTGAATCTTGCATATGTTAAAAAGGAGTCTGTCAGTGGCCATTGACAGGCGGTGTATTGTAAATGTAGTGGCCTGATCCCACCACCTGCTTTTCAGTAGCACGTAAATCCAACTGAATTTCAAAATGAAACCGTTTAGATGAACAGTTTTCGTAACGTGTTTTCATAGCAACTTGTAATGGTGGTGCGTTCTTGGGGATGATAGGAGGTATCTGTGGCTCAGTGCCTGTTAGGAGTATTCTGCTGGCTCACTGTAACAGTCCCTGCACTCCAAAAAACCAAATGTTAAATTGTGGGCTATCTTTTTTCCTGATATCCATAATTGTTTCTGTATGGGGAACCTCAAGATTCTGATTTGCATCTGCTCTGAATTTGTCTGTTTGTGCTTTGTTTAGAAGGAAAGTTGCGGTTCTTTAAAAGATAAGTGTCAGGACTTCTGAACAATACAGAAACAAATCTATAAGCTTCTGAGTAGAAAAATGCTTTTTTGAAAAATGTTGCCAATGTTAATCTTCAAAGAATGACTATTTCTTATAATGGCTAAAATGTTTTTTTAAATTGTGGTATCTCACCATATTCTCTTGAAAGCAGTCATATACCTTCTGTTAGGTTGGGATGTTTTTATTGTGCTGCAAACTGCAGAATTTTTTAAAGTGTAATTCTTTCTTTTAAAGCGCTTGGAAAATACTGAAAGAATTTAATATTTGAATTAGAAATTATAATTCCATATTTTTTAAACCGACCTTATGATTGATCCTATTTTTTTACAGTCTGATTGGGGTATTTATCTAGCTTACATTTATCTTGAACAGGTGTCTTTGGGAGCAGAAATATTGCAGCCATTCTCTATGGAGCAATTTTATTCAGCCCCTGCAGCTGATACCATAGCTGAGGCAGCCGCCTTTCCAGAGCCACCTGATCCAAAAACATGTAAGTAGGAGTATATTATCTTGAACCCTGCTGTCATTATGTTTCTTGCATTTGGCAAGGGTTTGACGTTTGTTGATTTTAAAGTGTTAACAGCTACACCACCTTTTCTTAAGTGGAATTTGCACGATTAGTCCCCTGATGTGTAAATAGGGAGTCAGCTCGGCCACTTGGTCAAAGGAAGAAAGCTCAAATGGTGCATTACAAATCAGTAGCATTGTCTAGCTGTTCAGGTCATTCTGTTCTCTTCTGAATAAGTGACTTTTTATTTAGCCACTTAAATCAAAGGCAAGTGTTTCTTCCTCTAATTTAAATAATTCAAAATGAGGATCAATAGACTAAATAGACAACTGATTTTTGAAAACTGCTTTCAAAATATTATCTTTGCCTGTCTGATTGCAAATTAGACTGGAAACAACTCTAAAGTTTTCTTCTTCCTTTTTTACCTATTTCTATACTTTATAAAATTTGCCAAGTAGCAGTGTATTTTTATTATGCATTTTAGCCCTCCTTTTTGTCTTCTCTTCCATTCGTTCTTGCTCATTAGGAATTCCTGTTGCTAGTCAGAAGCGGTGTTACCCTTGGCTTTTATATGTATAGTGTCCTTCCAGTTATGAACATTTTCTGGCAGTGTATGAGCCAATTAAAGGTACAAAGCACAGAATAAATTCAGTGTTTCAGCTGTGTTGCCAGAAGAGAACACTGCTATGACTTAATCTTTACTGACCACACCAAAACCTGAATACTCACTGAATGGCAGGCAGTTTTATTTTAAATCAAGGACAGCACTTCAGCTGATAAGCCACCCCTGCTTGTCTAGGATCCTAACAGGTTTGGTTTTCCTCACCTTTCTGAGGGAAGTGCTCTTATGGCTTCATACGGGGTCACGGTCCCTGTTCCCTCTGGCCCAGTGAACTGGAGTTTCTCTGCAGTGTCTTCGTCAGAAAGGGTAGAAGGCTCCTCCAGTTCACCCAGTTTATAAATTGATGGTGAAAAGTCCCGTTAGGGAAGGTGGAGATGTGGGGGAAAGCTGAGAAGGAAACAGAGCTTGAGAGTCTGTGTGAGCACATGGGAAGGATGGTAAGGAGACCTCATGTCAGGGCAGCGCAGTCAGACATCAGAGAGAGATGCCAATCCAGACAGCCCTCTTGAGGTGGAAAAATTGGGTATATGGAGTCATGTTCAAATTTCTGAAGGATCTAGCAAGTAGGAAGTAACTGTGGAAAGAAATCATAGGACCACTGAAATATAACCTTTGTTTTTTCCTCTGTCTAGAAATTCCTTTTTTTGACCAACCCTGTTACTGCAGATTGTGGTAGATACCAAAAGTGGTCTAGCTGTAACAGCTCTGAGTTCAGCGTAGGCTAATTTACTTTGCTTTCTGTCAGGGTAAATTAGTCCTCATTGCTTTTCATTTCCATGGCTAAAGTGCTTCTGGTGTCTGAGTTTACTCATTTAAAACAAAGCCTGACGTCTCTGAGGCACACTGTAGTTTGCAGTGTTGATGCACCCTTAGTTTGAAATTTACTCAAGTTGATGTGGTCTTTGCTGAAGAGAAGACAGATCTGTTGCTGTATCTGAACTGAATGAGTCTGTTTAGTTCAAGCTGTGATGGTATTGATAAAATGACTGATACTTAGTTTATCATATGTAATGTCTGTCTTTTTGTGAAATCTCAGTGATTACCTGTAAGTGATGGCTGTACTGTTTTGCTCAGGTTCTCCTCAAGACTACTTAGAGTATTACATATTTCCAGTACTCTTACCTGGATTGGCTGAACTCCTCCATCAAGCAGAGAAGGAAAAGTGTTTTGAGGTTAGTTTCCAGTTCAAATCATTGGCAGGAAGTTCCAGCCTTTTATTTCACAGACAGTATTTCTTTATTTGATCTTTTGCAAGAAAACCAACCACAATGATATGAAATAACGTATCATGAGTTGTTTTGGATCTGGTCTTGAATGTTGTTTTCTCCAGTAATTCAGAACAGATTGCACACTGCACACACTTGATCATTATGGCAATCTCTAACTCACAACAAATTCTCCTTAAATAGCCGGTTGTATCTAGCCTAAGTAGTGTTGCGTTTTAGCAAAACAGGCTTCCTTTCAGATTAATACGCATCACTCATTTGAGAGTGATATGAAGATCTTGAATTTTACTTCATTACTCAATTATTTTTGCTGGTCTGGCATCCTAATAGAGGTGCATTTTGTGTTTCAGCTTTTTAACGTTCTATGTCAATTCCATTTAATTGGAAAGCAGGGTATTCAGCATTAACGAGCTTATAAAAATTGTACATTTTAAACATAATTGTTTGTTACATATATTTATAAATTTGTTTTCAGTGTATGTGTGCGTAAACATATCTGGAGAGATAGTCCTCATTGTATATAGGGAATGCTTAAAAAAGCATTAGGACTGGTGCAAAAGAAAGCTTGTTGTATCACCATAGCCTAACTCACAGACCCCAGCAACAGATGAGGTACTGGGAGTAGTGGGGGTCTTACATCACTTCTACTATTTTCTCCAACCATGGTAGTAATTTTTTTTTCTATTTCTTTCCTACTTTCTGCCTGTCATCCACACTTTGCAATGTAAAACTTCTCTATATTTTTATGCCTGCAGCTGAGCCTCCTCTGACTTGCAGCTTCATAATATAAAGAGCAATTCATATAAATGACAATGAAAATATCTCTTTTTTTCTAAACGATACACATCTGAGGAACACAATCTGTGCTCTTGGGGTTATAGGTGAAAATGATAGCCACATGAGGAGGACTTTGTGTTACTAGTAGGTTAGTAATCATCTTAGCTCTTGATCTACCTCCTCTCCAACTACTGACATTGACTTCCTGTTATAGGCGTGTGTATATATGATAACAGACATCGTGGAGCAATTTGTAAAAAATGACATACGCGCTATGTGCCACTGGCCTATAGATGCCTGGCACAGCCAAAATTACACAACGCTTACCATGCCTGAACGGACGCCCCAAACTTGCATTTCAAATCCAATTCTGTACATTTAATAACAGAAAGCTATTTCAATTTTTGCTTAGCTTTCACAAGATTTGTGTGTGTCTATAGGCTGATTGATTTATAGATGTGTGTATATCTATTTATAATCTGTGAGATTAATACAAGTGAAATAGGAACATGGTTCATTTACATGTCATTATGGTAGGACATCTCTGTACATCATTCCTGCCATCACATTTACATTACCTACCCAAGAATAGATTGAACATATATATTATTCATAACACTTTTAATGAAATCTATATTGATTTTTTTTTTTTTTTAAAGAAGCACATATCCTTTACCAGGAAAAAGTCATGTCTTACGACTGGCTTAAAATACAGTCCTTGATAGGTGTTGCATATATCTGAAGCCAATAAAGTAGCACTTAATACAAAAATATGAGAATTCTTAGAAGTATTTCAGTTTCAAACTCAGGACAAATCTAAGGTTACTTTGTCTATTTTTAATCTGAGAAATTTTCCAGAGCTTCAGTGGTATATAGATTAGAAAGTATCTGTTCTGAAAATGGATTTTGTGGGGATCTGTGTATTGCTTTATAGTAAAGTAATAAAACCAATTATTTTGTAATGTAAAGATGTGCTAATTTTTGTGAAGCTCAAAAAGACACTAAGGGATTTTTGTTCCCCCTGCTATTGGGAAACCAAGTTTAGGAAAGCAAGCTTATGTCAGATGATCATTTTCCACTGTGACATCATTTCTTCCTCCTTTTGAACAATAACTAGTAAAACAATAGCTCTTTATGCTTGCCATACAACTGAATATTTATGGTCTTTTCCATTACTGTCCAGGTGCTTGTACTTGGACATTCCATTTCCTTATCTGACTTAAATACGTAATTTCTAATTACATTTGTTTCATAAGAAATATGTTGTTCCATATGGATTTGGAGAAAAATAACCATGCTATAATTTGTATTAAAATGGTTAGTGCAATAACTGGAACTGATTTTTAGGATCAAAACCAGAGCCCTTAGAAACCCAGAGAAAGTTAGGGATAGGGAGAAAGGATCTTGTGATAAAACACACCAGAAGATAGCTTCAAAAAATAGGAGGAGAACAAAGAGTAGAAAGAATCATGGAATTCATGAGAAGGGGAGACGAACATGATTAATTGTGATTAAGCTAACTGAAATCATGAAGGATGAGAACAGAATGCCGGGTTTGAATTTTGGCTAGACATGAGTCATTAAAGCCTGTAAAGGGCAGCTATATAGAAGAAAACAGTGGAAGATAAATGGAAGAAGCCCTGGAAGAAAGGGAGGAATAATCGAATTGGCTGCAGTCAGTGTTGCATGAGTCTGGGACAAGAGAGAGGGAACTGTGAGGGGGGAATGAAGAGTGGGCTTGTGATGAGAGGGACTAAAGGTTTTCATGTTTTGAAGAGAATGAAGATGAATGAGAAAAGAATGAAAAATTGAGAGTTGTTTAGCAATTGAAATTGTGGTAAGAGAGCAGATCATGGGACCAACAGAGGAATTCAAGAAAAGACGCATCCATTTGTAGAATCAGATGGGAAAGTCAGGAAAGGGAGATGGTTATGCTGAAAGCAGTCATTTGTGTAGGAAAGAAATCTGCAAGATCTTATTTGGAAGGTGATACAGAAACATAACAACTTAAACACTTCATTTAAAATAGGCTCTCTTGCATTATGTACTGTGTATGAAAAATCTGAAAAGCAAAAACCTAGAAAAACCACCAGCTGCTGCATATATTTGCAGACTTCAAACTGACATAAATATGAGAACAGTCTGCAGAAGCTTCATTTTTAAATTAGAGATGAAAGAAATCTATTAGGTTGCCCAGTATATTCCCTTGCTGATTATTTTTTTCCCTACCGTAAGTTCTCCTGTGCTTTATTCTATCTGCTGTCTAATGTCTCCAGGGGAAAGACTATTTTCTTAAATCTTGTCTCTCATGAGAACTGACTAATGCATTCATTTTTCAGCATTGAAACTGAACAATGTTTAAATGTTTTTATTAGCATAACTCTGCTTTTTCATTCTGGTTAGCAATCACAGAAAGAGGATGTTGTATTAGACTCTGTAATGGAATATATTATATTTAAAAGTATAATAGATCACGGAAAGTGAATGGAAGGTTTCCTTATGACTTTGCCATCTCCTGATCACCAGTATTTTTGCATTATTATTACCAAGCACATCATATACAAACTGAAAAATGGAAAATGAATTCTGACTATAAATAGTTTGTAAACACATCTGCAGGTTAGCAATGCACATTGTGCAGATATTTCCTGTGTTTGTCCTGATTCATGTAGCATAGGAGGGATGTGTCAAAGGCAGGTCAATTTATGTCATTATTTCCCTTCTATAAATGTTGGCTGCTGTGCAACTAATGATTTAATTCACTAGCAAAGTGAACTGTTTCCTGGCAAAAAAAAATAACAAAATAAAAAAATATTCAGCTTGACTGAATTCCTCCCTGATAAGTTCAGTGGATCTAACAAGGATAAAGCAAGATTAATTTGATTCCTTTGGTGATGAGTGTTGTGACAACACTGTTCTGATATTTTTTTCCTGTTGCAAAGGAAAAGCAATTTACTTAAAACAGATTAAATTACAACTGCTAGATTAAATTGAATTTTGTTGTCAAAGTATAGAATAATAAATTCTATATAAATAGTTCACTGAGTAATGGGACCCAGTTCATAATACTGTGATTGAGAATAGCTGTACAAAGATGATCGGACTCTGCTATTTGTTTTCAGATTCTGTTCAAGTCAGAATGTGTCCATTTAACATCTAAAATGACCCGTAGAAAGCTCTCTGGTGAAGGTGTTGCTCTCTTAATGCTTGGGTGTTTGGCTTCTCGGAACAGTATCTGGTATTAGTACAACAAGTATGAAAATTCCTTAAGGAGATGTGTTTCTGCGCAGCCATGCACTCTAAAGGAGTGCTACATGAACCCCAAAGCTTTTGTTGTCATGAAACGGATCATAAAGGCACATGGGGTTCAGGACTGACAGTTGTTTTGCAATGTTCTCTTTTTCTGTTCTGCTTTTATTTTTTTAAAGAAGTTCTCTTTCTTCTCTGTGGGAATCAGACTTTATGTCTACCAAGGATAAGATTCACTTAGAAAATTAAAAGCTTTCCTGGGTATCATCTGGGAATGCCGTGCAGTCTAGCTCTAAACCTCACATTTGCCATCCCCCAGCTGCATGACTACCCTGAATTCTTCCCTGTGCAGTCAGCACCTCACGTAACGCTCCTCTTCCACTTCACCTCTGGCTGAAGTAATACAGACTCCCAAAGTATGCCACCGGCTAATACCCCAAATGGAAAGAATTATGCCACGCAGAGCATTTTTTTTTTCTGCCTCTCTGTTCACATCCCCCAGTCTTTTTTGCATCATATTCTTGTAGCACAAGGAAAAACACAGACGGTGAGGATAATGCATAAAGTCATTCATCACGCTTTAAATTTCCAGTTACATATTTATTGTATTTTTCTTAGCAAGTGGCAGTAGTACCTTCATTTCTTACAGTTTAATCAAGACTCCAGCCTCCTTCCTGACATTTAGCGGTTTCACAAATGTGTTTGATGACCAGTGTGAATTATTTTCCTAAAAAGTAATAATTGCAGTTGAATCTCCCATTTGCCAGGGTATTACCTTCTGGTGGGAGCTAGGCTTTCTCTTAGCTAAATGGCTGCAGTTCTGATGAAGCACTCAGTGTCTCTGTTCTGCAGGAGCTTAATCTCTTTTGGTGTTCACTCTCTGGCTGTGTACATCTGTAACACATCTCATGTGAGAGGCGTGCAGAAGATACTAGTCCAGCTCTTCTGTTACTCTCACCAGAAGTCTACGTTATATTCTCCACATAATGGTTACTCCGTTTTGCAACAAGCAGGATAAGCACCTGTACTCATTTATATATTCACTCTATAAAGACGGAATGTGGAGAGGAAATCTCTAAGAAAAGGAAGGCCCTAATCAATTCTGTATTGTTCAAAATTCATGCTTTGAATTTTGAACTCAAACCGTATTTTACAGCATGCAGTGCTGTCCAGCTGAACAGGTACTGGCTGCTTGAGTCACTAAGGATTTTGCAAAATTCTCTTTGGTGGTGAAGAAGTCTTAGAACTGGGAGAAAAGGGCACAAATCTTTTGCTCCGAAGTGCCAGGTTTTGAACTTTTTACCCGATTCTCTTTAATTTCCATGCTATCTGTGATTGTGGATATACACGTGCGTTGTTTCTGCCTTCCTTTCTGGACTACCCACCAGCCGATTCTGTCTGAGCAGCCATACAATACTCCGCTGTGTGTCCTAAGTATTCACAACATCTTCAGCTGGTTCTGTGCAGGAGGAAACAATATGGCATCAATGTTCCTTCTGTGCCTTGGAAGTGATGAAGTATTTTAAGTATAATAAAGAACCTTGAGCAAAATGGCGAGTAATTTACAACGTATTTTCATATGTGAGTTCTGTTAATTTCTTTGCAATGAGATTGCCACTTAGAAAGAACACCATTCTGAGATATTTGTTACAGCTTTACTGCAGCAAATATCCAGAGAGGATATGTAGAATTTTCTCACTGATTTTTTGACTTGACTTGAAAGCATTCCATAACATTTCTAAAATTTTGGCTGAGCCACTGACTGTTGGCAGTAGCAACATTAAAGTAGACAGAGTAATGTACTGTATATTTTATTTAATAAAAGCAGTCAATTTAGCTTCTGTTCCTCTCCAGTAGTAAAAACATGTGACCAATCCAAAGATAATAAATAATTTGAAACTATCTTCTATCTTTAGAGAAAAAGGACCAAATTTATTGCCTGTGATTTCCTAACTGAGTGGTTATACAAGTAAGTTAATCATGGCTTTTGCTATTAATTATTCTCAATGATTCAAAGGCATTAATTTGCAAATAGAATTGCTACAGTTTAAATTAATATGAGTTGTTTTCTTTTTTTTTCTTTTTTTTTGTTATCAGCAAGAACCCAAAGAGGAAAGATGAGTCATTCACAGAATTCTTTTCCATTCCTTTTGTTAACGACTGGCTAAAGGACCAGTAAGTTATTGCAGTACTTAGAGTAACCTTTTCTCCTTTTATGCTTTTTCCCCTGCTATTCCAAAAAAGTAATAGAGCTTCGATGCATTATAACTGTGCCCTCTAAATGCCCTTTACTGCGTGCAACAAAGAACTGTGTGATGCTTTCTTACTTGGTAGTGTATTAGTTACAAGGTATTTTGTACCAGAATTGTTCACAGAGAAATTAGTTTAGAATTCTTAAACATTTTAATTGTAGAGTGCAGGGCATTCAAATAGTCTGGTAGTATTATGAATATCTTTGTACTAAGGAGCAAAGTAGTGTTTTCAATGCTGCTTCCTACTATGGAAATCTTTGAGGCTATACAGTCTAGAAATTCTTCCTCTAACTGTAAGCAGCTGTTTTAACAATACCTGTAATAATCCTTGGCGTCAGGATGTATTTCTGCATTTCAGCAGACATTTATGACTTTGCATTTGAGAAATGAACACTTGTTTTGGCAGCCTCAATCGCATAGTCTTCATAATTCCTGTAGAACCAAGCGACACAGTAGTTCTGAAAGAAATGTTACTGTTCTTGAGACTGGATTTTGGTTTAAATGGTAGCTGTTGTATGAGAAAAGTAAAGTAATAGTCCACAGTGAGAGAATAAGAAAATTACAGAGGTCAGATTTTAAAGAAAATTTTCAATTTGAAAACTTGGAAGCTCGGTTGGTGGTCAGTGAAAACTTGGAGATTAATATCTTTGTAGATATGTTTACTTCATTACACTATGTAAGTAGAAACTGAGCTTTCTTGAACTTTTGTCACATGAAACTTAGAACCTTGAGTCACTGATCCAGCAAGAGGAAAGCTCCTTGACGTTCACAGGTCTTTGGAGAAAAGCTGGTGATTGTGGCATCTTTGACTATCTTAAAGGTAGTCATGTGGTCAAATTTGTGTAGCAAGTTTCTGAGGTAACAGATAGACATCTCTGGAGAGTGACCCATTTCATCTCAACTCCAATACCTGCAGGCACCTGCTGCTGCGTCGTACTGCCCAGCCGCTGTTGTTCAAACCTGCCACTGGTGGGACACTTCTAACAGTTTCCTTCTGTAGGTCACGAGGTCTGGTCAACAAGATTCCCGTTTAAGGGAATTTTGCACTTTGAAAACTGCAGTGAAGTTGTCCTACTCATTTCTTAGGCACACTGAAGAGCCGTTGGTTAGTAAGGCAGTTTTGATACCACCAAATTGTGAGGATGGATATTTGTACCTAAGCTAAGTATCTGAGATCAGAGTTTTACAGACGTTTGATTCTCTTGGAAGTAAAGCTGACCTAAATGGTTCCCTGCTCTCTCCCGCTCTTCACCCCAGCCTGCTTGTAGGCAACCTCATATTGCCCTGTCTGCTTGGTAGGATGCTTGGTTATTCTGATCAGGGACCTCCTCTGAGTTAGAAATATCTCTGTCAAAATATCTGAGGAGGGTTTGTATAGCTATTTAAAATACAGATAATTTCTCCAATCTGGTTCACCTGAGAGCCTGACAAACCTTTGTATTGGCACAAACAAAGGATTCAAATGAAGGGCTCAGGGCAAGGTGAAGAGAACAAATGAGCTGGTAAGATATAGAGGTGGTGGCAGGAACTGCTTAAGTCAGCTTTGCCAACCAGAGAAATACACTGTGGAATCACAGCCTGAATGACTCATAGCTTCTGTTAGTACTTGTGCTGCTAAATAATGTAGTGACAGCTCCACAAGGACGCAGAAGTGTCAAAGTCCTACTTAAACTGGTACACACTTGATCTTAAGTCCTATAAAGAAGTAGGCCTTTAAAAATAATAATTATTAAAATTATTTTTAAAAACAACTTTTTTTGTGAACTTAACTTAAAATTACAGATTTCTTAACAAATATTGCTTATGAAGTAAGCATTCTTAGGGCAAAGTGAAAGATTGCAATATTAAATAAGAATGAAAATGAGAGAATTTATTCTTATGTCCTTCTAGATATGTCATAAATCATTTATTATTATATCCTTCCAGATATCACATTTAAAATGTAATCGATTCTATGCTTTTTATTGTCATTTCCATTTTTATTTGTAAAGGAGTTTTCATTTTTTAACAGGATTTATGAGTATGTAAGAGACAATATGCTAAAAAGCACTGGTCAAATTTTGATGAGAAACATCCTTATCCCAATTGTTTTGATGGCATAATAAATAAAAAGAAGTAAAAACTGTTGCTGCAAATTTAAGGGTAAACTCTTGCGTTGCTTTTTAAGTTACTTGCCCAAAGCATTCTGAGAGGTCTGTGAAATAGGAACACATTTCTATACTGTGTTAAAATAGGGTTTATCAGTGCAAAGTGGTCTTCATGCTTAAAAAAAAAAAAAAAAGTAAAACAAAAAACCCCAGAGGGATAAATTTTTGTTCTATCAGAGATCCAGATTTTTTAAATATATTCCATACCTGAGTATGACTTTTTTGGCGCTTCTCCAGCGCCTCCAGTTTTTCTTTGAAGCTCATTTTTCTTAAGAATAATCAAAGCCACAGTCTTATGAGCCTTGCTCTCTGTATGATGTGTTTCTAAATGAGATCTTGTAGCCCACTTGTCCTTTATAAGGAGACCCAAATGCTGCATTGGTTTCCGGAATTTTAAATGCAAACATTGTACCTTCAAAAGCTGGTTACTGTAGGTGAAGGAGCTTATGAAATTTGAATTTGTTTCCAGCTCTAGTATTTATGGTAATTGCTATAACATCAGTAAAGAAAAGCCTCAGTATAGTTACTTTGGCTTCCACTGGGTTCTGTATGTTGCCAGTAGCACTGACAAAATATTACATCCCTTGGGCATCCTTGACTCCCGAAGCAGATTTCCAAAGCAATAGAAGGAGCAGCCTCAAGACTGACTGGTAATCTCCATTTCACGTCCAGGAGAACACAAACCGTTTCTGTTGTCTTAAAGGACAGCTGTACCTTCCAGAGCCCAGGAAACTGGAGTTTTAACAAGGAATGAACAACAGTTTTTGGAAACTTGCTGAGAAACTCACTGATGTCCCTGTTCCTACATTCCAGACTGCTGATATAGCCAAGTAAAGTAAATAGAATTAGAGCCTTGAATGTTTTGTACTCCTATAAATATGCTAATGAGCAACACAGTTGCCTTTTGTCAGCATTTTCCAGTGGTGTTTCTGGTTGAATAGCAGTGAAGCTCAATCGCAAGTAACCAAGCTGTATGTACGG